GGGGTGGCGGGGGACTCTGGGAGGGGGTCTGGGGACCTGGGTGGGACACCCACACTCCCTCACTTCACCCTTCTGGCCCCTTTCAGACCAGGGTGTACGGCCGGGACCGTGTCAGGTTCGTGGAGAGCCTGGTGGTGGGGGACATCGCCGAGTTGAAGCTGGGACAGGTACAGGGCACGGGGGTGAGGGCACCAGGTATCCATCGGGGTTAGAGGCCCCCGAGAGGGCGGGGAGGTGGGCGGGGACAGGCCAGGCTGCCTGCACTCCCAAGGACCGTGTCCACAGGGCACCCTGACGCTGCTCACCAACGAGAGGGGTGGCATCGTGGATGACCTCATTGTCACCAACGCAGCAGATCACCTCTACATCGTGTCCAACGCCGGCTGCACCGACAAGGACTTGGCCATTATGAGGGTACGGGGCTGCCCGAGCCCCCCGGGAGTTGGGGACAGCAGGGACATCCCGTGGGAACGAACACTCCCACACCTTTTGCTGACATCCATGGCTGGGGGCACCATGTGTGGGGTAGGACCAGACCTGTCCCTGTGCTAGCTGCCCACTGTCACCCCGGCAGGGCAGAGCAGCAGAGCTGCAGGCCACAGGTAGTGACATCCACCTGGAGACACTGGACAACGCGCTGCTGGCTCTGCAAGGTAGTGGAGTCCCCGCATGGGCTGGCACTGAACATCACCATGGGAGGCTCGGGCCACGCCCTCCTCCAGGTCCCTGCGTGAGGCATGTTAGTGTCCTCCCCACACCCCCACACCCTTCCCCAGACACTGCTGTCCCCCAGCACCACCTGCCTCCCCAGGTCCTTCCATGGCACGGGTGCTGCAGGCAGGGCTGTCAGATGACCTGGCCAAGCTGCACTTCATGAACAGCGTCACCACAACGGTCTTCGGCGTCCCAGGCTGCCGGGTCACGCGCTGCGGCTACACCGGCGAGGACGGCGTGGAGGTACCCGGGAGCCGCGCTGGCAGCAAGGGTAACACCGTGCCCCACTGCCCCTGCGCCCCACTGACTCTGCTGCCCCTGACCCC